GCCGATTCAACGGTTATAATTTGTACAAGCCTCCTCCTCCCCTCCTGCCGCATTCCTCGTGGCTTGCCCGGCTCCTATTCTGGACTTCCTTCATAGTCTTATTGTCCGCGCTCGTCTCGTCTCGTCTCGTCTCGTCTCTTCCCGTCTTGTCGTGCCCTCTCCTTCGTCCCTGCATTCGCCATCCAACCATCCCGGTGACCTGCATCCTGAATCCTGAATCCTGATACACCTCGCCGCCCCTGATCTGACTGCGCTTTGTTGATCTGCCTCAGGTCACAGTGTCCAGTCCGAGCCAGACGACCAGCCCAGCCGCGACTAGGTGTCCATGTTGTCTTGCCCGCTCCTTGGCCAAACCAGTCTACCGCCTCATCCCAACCAGCATTGAACCAGCATTCACAACTTCGAGTCGAGCCTACCGAAAGCGCCACCGATTTCGCACCCTCCCACGCGGGCCACCGCTGCATTCCATCAGGACCCCCTCCTCGTCTCTCTCTCCCAGCCTTGGGCCGGGTTGTCAGCTCTGGAAATTGCCGCTCCTTTCGACCTCGATTCGATAAATTCCACCCAAGAAGAAACGCCGCAGCATCTTCTGACTGGCTCGGCCCATATACAAGTGCTCGCGTCGTGTTGCATTCTGTATCCACTTCTCGAATTCACCACGTTGCGCCCGTCTTCGATTTGCCAGAATGCCCGCCTCTCTCGACTCATCGCGCCCCATCATGGCCCCGTCGGTATGTTTTGTTCGGGTCTTGCGTTTCTTTCGGCTTTTGACAAAATGTCTTGATTTGCTTGCTTCTCTTTTCCTGCCTGTCTTGCTCTCCCTTTCACTGTCTTCTTTATTTCCTTTTGCTTGGTTTGCAAACATAAACACCAAAAAGAAACGCCCAGCCCAAAAAAAGGCTCGACGCCGCACTCTGGTTCGTGCGTGCCTGCATTCCCGCCCCAGAAACCCATGTGAAACTCAACCTGGCCAAGCCATGAATTTCTCAAGTACTCTGTTATATGGTTGAGGGCACGCCATCAGCGCCTCTACACATTTCCTCCCCAATCGCCAGTCATCACGCCCTTCCACATTCCTCCATATACTTGTCATTTTCACTCTTCATCTGTTGCGGTTATCAAATCAGTCAAAACTTCCGTGTAAACTAACAAACTCATGTCTCGACGACAGGCCAGAACTTCCGTGCGCTTCAGCACCTACAGCATGACGCCGTCCTTTACACCTACTGTCCAGACCTCTGACACGGCCCAGGCGGAGATCCGCGATATTGCCTTGAACCTCGACCGCATGGAGAATAAGGCACTATCCTCGCAACGGGTCATGCTCAGCGACGAGAAGACAGACAATATGAGCAAGCTGGCTCTGGGTGCCAAACTCGACCGTGCCTTGGGGCGACGCATGAGTGGACAGGATGCTGTTATGCGCCCGCGTCGCAACGTCTCCGTCAGCGTTACCATGAGTGAGAAGAAGGCACTAAGCGAGAGAGCATAAACCCTCGACTTTTGCTTTGAAAGACCATATCAGAGCGATCTTATGGGTTCGAGGCAGACGACACGTCGATAGCAGTCGCGAATTGCCCCTATCAAAGAACACACTACTTGAACATGAAAGGTCGCCTTAATCGACACAACGAGGGATGGTGTTTTTAGTCGAGACATATCATAGCTTATCTTCGACGAAGGTTGCCGGTATTTCAGCATGCACCAGCTCTCCGGTTAATGGCTTGACCAGCCCCGGCTAGTCCTAGGCGAATCATCAACAAATAAGCCAGCAAAGCCCATAGCAAAGCAGCGGGACTAAAAGAACCGGCAGTCACCGTCCATTGATAAACGAGATCGGTGAGACGAATCAACGGCGGAATTTTAAGCGTTATTTCTTCATTTGCTCATGCATGGTTCTCTTTAAACATACAGGGAGTCTGTCCCAAAAAAACAGGCTATTGTATCGTGACGACTAGAGCGACGGCTTGGATGGGTTCATGCTTTCTCGGCTTTCCCTTTGTTTTTTTGTTTGTTTGTTTTTTTTTTCCTCTTTTACACGTGTTTGCTTTCTGTTTGTTTTGGGCATTTCTTTCGACAGTTTTTTGGGGATATCCAACAAAGGGATTGGAATGTGGGTGTTAAAAGAAACAGAATAAATTTCGGCCACGATGGTTTCCCATCTACACCGCTGTTGTGCGCTGCGTTTACCGTGTGTGTAGGGCCTCTGCGACAGTAAGCGCCATTGCTACACTCTGCGTAGCAGCCAGAGGATGCCTAGGCTACCAGACGCCTGGGGAAAGTTGCATCCATAGGACAGGCATTCCTAGGGCTTGGTGGTCCACTTTGTTACTCTACTTCCTTGGCATGCTTGGGACCAGGTCAAGTTCCAACAATCCCTGGCGTTGTCTGATTACGCTTCGTCGTTCGTGCACGTCCTCCTGGTTCATCAAAAGCAAGGGTATCAGCAGAGGTAGTACTTCAAAAGTGGTAGTAGTACTACAACGACAAAGCGCTGTCCAGCATTAGAAAGCGGAGTAATAATAAAAGAAATTGACAGAGGCAAAAAGGGAAGAGAAACCACCATGTCAGGAATCAAGTACAGAGTGCTCGGTGACATTATAAAACTCGCTGTTATCTTGTGTAGGGTATTGCGGCGGACGATCGAGTTCTTTCCATACTAAAGCACCAGGTTGAGTTGGCAAGACAGGCTCCTAAACGTTGAAATTTAAATCATATTTGGCTCGCGTGATAATTATTTGATAGACAACTTGCTCAACGCGGAAAACAGGATAACGCCATAAAACACAAAACAGTCTGGATAAATGATATGCAAATCCTATGCGCCGAATGTTGCAGTACATCTTACATTCCCGCCATCTTTTTCTCCCCGAGCAATTTCAGACGGTGTCTTGCTGACGTTTATCTAGTCTTCTGACGCCCCGTGTATCTTGAGATGTCTCTCTGGCCGCGCGCAGATAGTTGGTATCGTGGTCAAGGAACCAATTCCTCCGTCTCCAACAGCTCCGGCCCTTGCGTCTATCCCCTCCAGAGTGTAAAGAAAAAAAACAACTGTCATCCCATGGCAGAATGTCGTCCTTCTAATGAGCCTTGCGCCTCTCGACCAGCGCCTCAATCTCCTTGAGCAGCGACACCAAGTCGCCCTCCTCGCCCTCCACCTCCAGCCCCTGCTTCACCCAGTCCCTGGCCTCCTCCAGCCTGCCCATCTCCATGAGGCACTTGCCCCTCCTCCACCAGGCCTTTGCGTTGCCGACGCGCCTCGCCTCGACGCTCGCCTCGGCGTCGACGGCGCCCTCGGGCCAGTTCTGCGTCGCCATGTGCGCCTGGGCCCTGTTGGCCAGCAGGCCCGACACCTCCTCCCTCACGAGGGCAGCGGGCTCCCAGAGCGGCCGGCCCAGCGCCATCTGGATCCCGAGCGAGTACAGGCGCACTGCGTCGGCGTACTTGCCCTTGCGGTACTCGGCGTTGCCGTTGTCGCGGAGCTTGTTGACCTGTCCGGTGCGCTTGGGGTTGACGGGGATGGGCGGCGGGGGGACGCCGTTGGAGGAGCTGTCGACGTTGAGGAGCGCGCGGTGGAGGGTGTTGAGGGCCTCGAGCTCGGCGTTGAGGGCGCGCGACTGCTTGCTGGTCGTGATGGCCTTGGACTGGGCGTCCATGTGTATGGGGAGGAGGTCGAAGTGGTCGAGGTCTGCCATTGTGGGCGGCGCGTGTGGGCGGTTTTGGATTCTTGGCAGGCGGGTGTGTGTATTTATTGAGATGCAGCTGATGGTTTCGGCGGTTGTTGTTTGCTGTTTCTTTCAGCTCCGGGACGAGGAACCTAGTAGCCAGAGGGGGGGTTGTGGGAATTTTGGCAATGTCATCGGACGATGTTGCTTATTTCGCCGGCGACAGGTGGGCTCTAGAAGGACAAGTTTCAAGTTGCTGGTTCGGAATTCTTCTAGCACATGACTGTGGGGGGCGGGCGGGCAGTGGCTGGCGACATCCATCAAAACACGTTGCCCACTTACCCTGGGCTGTATTTATGCTTTGGCGATGGGGATGACCAAAGGATGGATAAAGCTTAAAAACTGGGTGAGTGAAGTCATCTATTCTGAGGACGAGAATTTACCATGGTGAATGTTCTTCTTTTTGAATCATGTTTTTGGGATTGTAGGCATAGACGTTGAATATGCTGGGAGAAATTGACGATCCCGTCAGTATGGCACGAGTCCTGTTACTGACACACGGCACCGGATATTATTGCACACATCTTTCTGTGACATCACCGAGCAACCGTCCAAGCAACTGTCCACCCAATGTCGTCGAATGAAACTAAAATACTACAACCGCAAACTCATTAATTGTCAATGCAAAACGATACCATTCCTTTTCTACTCCTATGGCGCAAAATGCTAGAAACCCCTTCAGCCCAGGCACGAGAGAAGAGAGTCAACATAATCCATCTTCCATGCCCTCCTCCAAGCACTCCCCCAACGTTTATCATCATGGACTCCATCTTGGAAATTTCAAGATTGGCTTCCTTGGGCTTGAAAGCACGGGGAAAAATGAAAAGTAGCGTTATTCCTCGGTCCTGCGTTTTTGTGCCTTTACCCAATTGGTCAAATAAAAACACCGGTTACAAAAAACCGAATAAAAAGAATCCTTCTTCATCAACAAGTAATTCCTCACGCAACATGTAAAATGTGTACCGTTTGGCATAAAAGAGATGCTGGAGGAATCTTTTGGTTTCTGTGCTTTATTTGTTTTGGGCATCGGTCTTTTTTGTCTTCTCATTCGACGAGCGATATTCCATGTAGAACATTTAGAACAACCATCCGCCACCTTTCCCTATAGCTTTACCATCCCTTGCCATCACTCAGCAAATCAAGTGTAATCCGTTTGTGAACCGCCGCGCCAATCTAATGAACCGCACGAGAAACGACAAAGACGATGCGAAGTTGTTTTCCACCTAGACCATTGTCGTCATGCCATGGTCAGAGGGTATAGAAACATGGCTGGATTTAGTAGCCATAAGCCGCAAGGGCCTTCGCCGTCCCGGCCTTGACAGTAGCGTTCTTCTTGGCATCGGACAGTTGTCGAGCAGCAACCTTCTTGCGCTCGTAGTAGGCCGCGCCCTTGGCCTTTCTCCGCTCCTCCAATCTGTGTATCCTGTCAGCATACCGCGCTTCGGCAGTCAAGATTTCCAGCGTAGACCTACCGGGCAACAACATCCTGATACTTCCAGCCAACCTCGTGGCTCAGACGGCCGACGGTGCAGTACTTGCGGCCGGGCTGCAGGCGAAGAACGCGCAGAGCCTGGGGAACGACCATCTTCTTCTTGGTGTCATAGGGGGGAGGGACACCCTCAAAAACCTTGAGGCGCTCCATGGCAGCAGCACCTCGAGCGGTCTTGTGGGGGATCATGCCACGGACGGCCTTGTAGAAGATTCGGGAGGGAGCGCGGAAGTGGAAGGGACCTAGATTTTGTGTTAACTAGGGTGAATTGCACGACGGATTATTCAATACGGGTCGAGACTCACCACCGCGGGTGGGGTTGTATCGGGTCATCTTGCGCAGATAGGCGTGGTACTTGACTGTGCGACAGTTAGTCATCTCGAAATCATCTCATCGGTTTCTGTTGTGGTAGATGCGACAGGCTCGACCAGCTTCCAGGAGGATGCAGAGTGTTTGCAAGGGGTGTTCACGTACGCTTAGCGCGGAAGAACTCTCCCGAGATGTTGAGGGCCTCGCAGCGGACAACGACGATCTTCTGGCCGTTGAGGAGCTGCTTGGCAACAATGCTGGCAAGACGGCCCAGCAAGTGGCCCTTGCCATCGATGACAACCTAGTAGAAGAAGCCCGGTCAGCCTCCAAATGTCCATTCATCATGCCCCCATGGCATCCGGCATCCGATTGAAGTGATTCCCAGAGTCTCGAAGTTTGATCGCGGTGCAGCAGACACACCCGTCCCGAAACCATTCTCCCAAGTTCCCATCCAAGTGTGCCTGCGCATGCATCCATCATCGAGTCCCTCATCACGCCTCTCGAACTGCTCCGGACACGGGATACACAATAGTAGTGGTTGGTGTTCTACTCACAACCGGCTCGAATGACGACATCGTTACCGACTCTCCTTTTGGTGACTGAGAGAAAAGAAAGGAAGGCGACTGCTCAGACGACGTCGAAGACACACAAATCCTCCAACCGAACCGGCGAGAATCTGTTGCTGTGACTGCTGTGGGTTAGTCGTCCCTGGGATGTTGGTGAAGTGGTCGCGATAGTGCTTGACTGGCGAGAAAATCCAAGTTCCGCTTGAGGGCTCGTTGTGCCTTTGCAACAACTGACGCTAACTGCATGTGGTTAAGTGGCTTTTGGGGTCAAGCGAACACCGCTCACAGCGACGACTCTGTTTAGGGCTGCGAGACCTATTGTGCCCTTGCCGAAATTCTGCCGGCTTGCCGGCTCTGTCCGCTCAGAGGACCCCACATTTTGCCAAAACAGCTCAGCGGAGTTCGGGGCCAATCACGTCTTGATTTTTGAGCAGAGTGGAAAGAGTACAACGGGCAATGGAATCAATGTGAGTGGAAAGGCTCCGAGGAAGGAGGTCAGTGAGTGACATTCCATACACTGGCGGCACTATCAGCAGGAGCATACATACCTCGGTATTCAGCACTGTGCCCAACACCCTGATACACAAGTTCACCAATAAAATCATTTATTGCGGGAAGAGAGAATTCTTCAGAATCTATCCAACGCCATGACGATAAAGGGTGCTAGCGATTAACCATACGTATTGAAGATCTTTCGCCGCACATTGCACGATCATCTATCTTGCCGAAATGTACCCTACTATTACAGAGGCTCCGCAACACGCAGTAATGCAAAAATCCATGCCATGCCATGCGCTTCTTTCCGTCAGTCTTGAATAATGCAAATCTGGCCCTCAAAGCCAAAGGGGTTCCCAACGCCAATCAAGTCTAGCTCTCATGTCTATCTTCATAAACCCGACTTCATAAAGATGAATAGCTGTGAGCCGTCATGCTGCTCTAGGAGGCCTTTGCCGCATCTAAAGCTTTCAGTGTTTCTTGAACCTTCTTCACCAATGCCTTTCTTCTCGCTCTGACTTCTGCGATTCCTTCCGTGTCCACAGCATCCAATTTCAGTAAGATAATCTGCAGAAGCGATTCGGAATACTTTCTGTGCTCATCCTCACGCTTCTTGGGGTCACTTGGCGGCGACGCAATGAATTTGTCACAAAGAGGGAGCCAGTTCTTGGTAAATTCATCGGACAGCTCGTCGAGCTTCTTCATCGGGCCGGCACCAGGAGTAGGTGAGCTAGCCTCGACGTTGGATGTGCTATCACGAGGACTGCTGGCAGAGTCACCACCGGCCTTGGCTCCCTTCTTCTTGGATCGCTTCTTCTTGCGACGGCCTGACTGGTTGTCGTTGACAATGACCATTTCCTCTTCGGACGGGCTGCTCTCGTCTTGAATGTCTGAAAGAACAGCCAACAACTCGCTGTTATTTTTCACCTCGTAGTCCCGCACGGGGGCAGCCGGCTCTTTAAGCTGGCGGCCCTTGTAAAGAAGCTTGATGCGGCGAGTTGCGCTCTGAGACAACTCCATCATGAGGCCGACGCGCTCCCGCACATCCTTCACACGTAGCTTTCCGTCTCCGATAGAATATGCCGGGAAATGCGCAGGGTATGTCACACCCTTGTTTTTGATAAGTAGTACGTCATCCTCTGGCGGAGGACCACCGGGTCTTGTTCCGAGGTAGGAGTGATCTTCCAGGTCTTGCGATGTGATATAGCTAAAGTCTTCGTCTCTTACGGCAGGGACACCGCCCGCCATGGAGCTGTAGGGAGAGCTCTGCTCGCGGCTGAGAGACCAGCCATATCTCGACATGGTGAGAGGCAGGGCAACGAGAGCAGCGAGGCCGCTATACACGAGGCCAGGGGGGACGCCGAAGGTCTCGGAAATATATTCGTTCGATCCCTGGAAGGCGGTAGAGAGGTTGACCAGCGTGCCGTTCAGGTACGAGGTCAGGTTTTGGAGGGCACCAGAGGATGCCGCGATGCTCTGGCTGGAATCCACCTTGTCGTTGGTTGGTGAGGATAGCCCAATAAAGGACACCTCTTCCTTGCTTTCAACGGATGGGTCGAGTCGAGGATGGGTATGAGACTACAACGGGAGGCCTGGTATTTTTGGTAGAATGCGAAGTGTGTCTGGCACTGGCGACACTGGCGACCGCGACCGCAGTTCGTCAGTTGGCAGTGCTGGGGGCCGTTCTTTTCTTGTCGGCAGTGTCAAGTTGCCAAATGTACGGCGGCTTGGCGCGAGACTGGAGATGTTTCTTAAATGGGCCACTTCCCCGGTTGAATGGCTTTCTGCATGAGTCTGAAGATTTGTCGTGCGCTGTGTATGTACGCTCTGGGAGATGGTGGATGCGACGTTCCTGGAAAGAATCTTCGAATCGATGAGATCGACCCTGGCATTAAGGTTTGGGCTGACAAGGGGAGGATGACGAGGCTTAAGCCGGGGTCCAAAGTCAGGTGATGACAAGCGGTCAGCAGCAGGCAAGGCTGGAGGTAGAAACGCTCAATGCACCAAACAAACTCTGTGAGGCCGTAAGAGGGTGCATCTAGAAGGTAGCTATGCTTCAAAAGGCACTTCTACTGTTATATACCTAGGCATGTACGAGTGAGATGACTTGCGGTGATGGTTTGTTTCCTTTCAACAACTGTTGGATGGCGGCGGCTGCTACCCTGTATTCTAGTCTCCCCATACTCCGTACTCGGGGAAGAACCACGATGTCTTGGAGAGTTGCCGAGCCTCCTATATGCTATTCAAAGGCTTTTGACACGAAATTACATGATGACTCCTTCCGTATGACAATGCTTTAGGAAGAGAATGAGGTCATGGCAGTTGTCAATGGTTTGTGATCTGGGTATACTCCTGTGCGATAACGTCATTGTTGGGTGGAGTGGAGAGACAAGCAGTATTCCATGACTTGATAACCCCCCCCCCATGTGTTCTCCTCCATGATTTGGGACGCATTGGCGTATACGGGCTGGCGGTAGGGACGAAGTTATCATGCAAGCCGGTCAGAACGATGCCGATGCTAAGGCGGGAGCTTGTGTAGTGATACGTCACATCATGGAAGACCTGGACAACCATTGCTTACCATGGTGAATCTGGTCGATGACCACTGTAGCGATTTCCCGTTCCCCGAGGTTACAGCGTGCGGCTCGTAGAGTGTTGTTGCCTTGGGGCACACGTTTATTATTGCTGGATGTGGTGCTGAATTCCGGAATCTTCACCGGATCGCAGTGACAGCATCTCCAGGGTGCTTGCCAATTGGTCGATGTCACTTGCTGATTCTATAGGCCACCAACCGACACCACCCAGGGCCAGCAGAAAGAGTCAATCAAGTCCTCCTCCAACAATCATCCCAAAGAACTCGACATTTTGAATGAGAAAACACCGGATTCCAGCCACTCGCGACGGCATTGCATCATCGGTCAATCGTCGATGTCCCCAAGGCGCCCCACCCGTCCCTCAAGTCTAGCGTCAACCATTTACCAATCCCCATCGCCACAAGGCCGGGACTGATTCCATCATGGCTCAAGTTCTGACAAATCTCTCGACGTCCCTGAGTTGCCCCTCTCGCCTCCTGTACCATAGCTTTTACAGATCCTGGTCCCGCCCGACCAAGCAATCATTATACATATAGCCTCAAGTGCTATGTCCACTCTCTTGCATCCGCTACCATTCGCCTTGCCGCAACAGCATCTCATGTTCAACATTTTTCGATCCTTCTTCTCTACTTCCGCAGCACGCCGCAGTCCCGCAGCCATGGCCCAAGCAAGCACCAAGGTCCAGACGCTCATTGACGAGAACCCCGTCGGTACGTTCTCTCATCCAGGCCAGCATACCTGGCGCCCGTCGCAACCGCAAACAAACCACGTCACAGTATAAAGACTCGGTCGCTGACACGTCCTGACAGTCGTCTTCTCCAAGTCCTACTGCCCGTACTGCCGCGCCACCAAGGAAACCCTCAGAAAGCTCGGCGCCGAGTTCAAGGCTCTCGAGCTCGACCAGATCAGTACGTCGTCGTGCCGCCGTCCTCCTGCGGACAAGAAAATACTAACAAAGATGCCTTGCAGCCGACGGCGCCGCCTTGCAAGATGCCCTCGAGGACATCACCGGCCAGCGCACCGTTCCCAACGTCCACATCAGGCAGAAGCACATTGGCGGCAACTCTGACGTCCAGAGCCTCAACAACTCCGGCAAGCTGGAGGGTTTGTTGAAGGACTCTGGTGCGCTCAAGGCGTAAGAAAGAGCCATTTGGATTTTGCATAGTATTTCTTGTGCTCGAGATCATAAAAAATCTATATACACATGGAAGACAAGACAGCGGCTGATTTGTCTCGGGGGTTTTGTCCAATCTATACAGAGCGAGGCTTTGATAGACGGTAGACGTATAGATTCTGCGACCGACACGTGTACGGATGATGACAGTATTTTTTTTCGTCAGAGACGGTCCTGGTTTTGATGACTCAATACAAGGTGGGATAATGTACATTGGCCGTTTCGCCGGAGTGGATATGAACTGTTTTCCAAAGCACGATGTAATTGTGCGTCTAGTATACAAGTGACCTTGCTTCGCGTACTCCCTCCCCCTCCCGCCCGTCGGGACCGTGTCTACAAAATCTGTGCAGCGACGGTGCCAACGGGCCGCTCTACAAACTCCATGATTCCCTCAATGATATTGTCCCTGGCTCCCTCGGAGGCAACCTTGTCCCCGGCCAGGTAATTCAACCACAGCAGCCTGGAAAGTCTCTCGTCAGAGAGGGTGCCCATCAAGCTCCTGCCAGCTTGCTGCTTATGACCCCCTTCGCCGTACAGGACCGCCAATGTGCCATTCGCGTCGCGCGACAACAAGAGCTCCTTCCTCTTGGGAACCTGCCCGCGGTTAAAGAAGATCTTGAACTCCTTCATGGCTGCACCAAACGCCTCGTCGCCATAGGCATTGCCGCGCCCGGAGCGAGCCTGGATAGCTCGCACGAATCCATCTCTCAAGTGGTGAAAGTCGGTATCGCGGACGGGTACGATCCGGAACGCCGTGCGGCACCCGGCCTCCCGCAGGATGGAATCCCAGGTCTGCTCGCCCTCGGCGGCGTCGCGGAGCGCTTTGCGCAGGGCGTCCTTTTCAGAAGGAATCAGCGTGGTGGCGAGGGGGTTGATCTTCTTGACGAGGTAATGCTGCAGGCGCTCAATGTCCTGCGTGGCGACGTAGAAGCCTACCAGGTAGACCTGGATGCCGATGAATGTGACCGTCCTCATGCCCAGTCCGACAAGTGTGTACTCCACGCCGGCGCTATTCGCCACGGATGCCGCCACGGGTCCGTCTGCGGTTGAAGCGCCCGGGAGGTCGAGGTCCATGGTGCGAGGAAACGCCGGGACAACGCTGTATCCCGTGGGGACAATCTCCCTCCCTTCTTCATCGTGGAGAACAACCTTGCGCTTCTCGCCGGCCTCCGTCTTGAACGCCTCGGTCGGGATGGGGGCGTCGCACTTGACTGCGATTTTGTCCTTTTCACCTTGGACGTCGAGCGCTTTCTTCAGCTTCCATGCCGTGTAGATGAAGGAGATGATTCCGGCAACGGCGCCGGCAGCCAGGAAAGCGGTGCGGTTCCTCTCATAGTCGCGGCGTTTGCTATTGAGCTTGTTGAGGTCGAAGTCTTGGGTAGCGCGGGCAGATGCAGATGCTCTCTGGGAGAGAAGGGCGCGGCTGGTCGTCGGCACGCGAGATGGACAGGCGGATGCGCGGGCGAGTGGCCGGGCGAGCCGTGATGGGTGACGCATTGCGAATTGACTATGTTGGCGATGAATCAAGCAGTTGGGTTAGCACTGCGGATGGGCCATGAGGTGGCTACGGGCTGTGGTTTGGATGTAAGAGATGTTGCGTGATGGAGAAATTTGTGACGTAGTGGTTCGATTGGTGGGACTGGCCAATTGACTTGGAGCTGGTGGCTTGATTGAGTGCTGGGGGCTCTCTTGGCGTCATTACGCAAGCTATTTCCATTCAAATAAAAGCAACTGGCTCGAATTCACACTGGGCGTGCTGGGCTCCGTGGTTTCGTATCCTTTATTGTGCAGTTTCGTAGGCACTGGGTGGTTGGCCAGCTCGACAGACTCGCTGGCTGGCCGTTGAGGTCAATGTCACGGCGAGCGAAGCGTTACACCCACCGCAGCTGCCGACCTGGCCATCTCTCCATTACGCCGACAAGCCTCCATGTCCGTCTACGGACAGCATCGAAGCGCACAAATAGGAGTCAACCCCGACCAGCTCCAAGACCACCGGCGGAAGTGCAGATCTGCCAAGTCGCAAAAGCCCAAAATGCCGAATCCATCTCGAGGACAGCGGAGTGGCTCCCCGCATAGGAGCCTCGCAGCCAATCACGGCTTTTCAAAACCGCCTTCCGCGGCGCTTGGCTTGATGCTGAAGTGGGGCACATGCATTCTCCTCCTCGACTCCATAAAGTTCTCTCACCAGTTTCCCCAGAGTCCCGGGCCGACCAAGAGCCACTTATATGACGGTATCGTCGCTGCCCGCGCCCGGCGGTGATGCTGGATTCATACCAACGTGTAGCTGAGCACGGTGCCTGTTCGTTTGAGTAGCCACTTGGCCTGCATCTAGCCAAAATACGGCCGAATCTAGCCAGCAAAATACCCTCCCCGGACGAGACCCTAGCGAGGACGATGCGGAGAATTCTGCGTTTCCCCCGCTGCCGGTGCCGTGCGTAGAAATGACAGTTGGATGAGGATCTGCGTAGTATATAATGTCTACGATCTGCCTTGGCCCCAGCTCTGGATTCGTGTCTGTGTTATCTCGTACGGCGTCCCATTACAGAGCCAGGACCAAACTATAGTTGGTGGTAGAAGCAACCATGGGACAAGTGCCGGCTCTTTGTAGGTTGACCATATTTCTCCTGGCCGCGGGCATGGCGTCGGCTGCGAGTGGTTCCCAAAAACGTAGGTTCCCGCCACTCATTCCCGGACCAGACGCTGATGATGCCCGTAGCGATCCAGGTTGACGGAACGGCCTTTGCTCTCAACGGCGACGATGTTTCATATCGTTTTCACGTTGACAATGCCACGGGAGACCTGATTGGAGACCATTTCGGCGGACCGGCCGAGGGCGACACCATTGAGGCGGAAATCGGACCCGTCCAAGGCTGGGTTGACATGATCGGCCGTGTGCGGCGAGAGCTGCCCGACCTTGGCCGGGGCGATTTCCGAACGCCCGCCGTTCAGATTCGGCAGTCAGAGGGCCATACCATTAGTGATTTCCGGTATCAGGGGCACACGGTCCTCGAGGGGAAACCCGCGCTCAACGGCCTGCCGTCTACCTTTGGGAAAGACGACGACGTTTCCACGCTGGTCGTACACATGTATGACAACTACAGCTCCGTGGCAGCAGATCTCAGCTATTCAGTCTTCCCCAAATATGACGCCATTGTTCGCAGTGTCAACATCACCAACAGAGGCAAAGGCAACATCACCATCGAGAGACTGGCAAGCTTCAGCGTTGATCTGCCGTGGGGCGACTATGATATGCTGGGGCTCAAGGGCGATTGGGCTCGAGAGGGCATGAGGGTCCGTCGAAAGGTCGATTTTGGCATCCAGGGGTGAGAAGGACTGTGGCTGAGAACCCCTTCGTTTATATGCTGACATGTTTTGGGTAGCTTTGGCAGTGCGACCGGATACTCGTCTCACTTGCACAATCCGTTCCTCTCAGTGGTGTCTAGAGCTACCACCGAGTCTCACGGAGAAGCCTATGGATTTTCTCTAGTTTACACTGGATCATTTGCTGCCGAGATTGAAAAGAGCTCCCAGGGCCTGACAAGGGCCATGCTTGGATTTAACCCATCCCAACTTGCATGGCCACTTGGACCCGGCGAGTCACGGCAGTCTCCCGAGTGCGTTGCGATATTCTCAAGCACCGGTATAGGCGGCATGTCACGCAAACTCCATAGCCTCTATCGTCAGCACCTGATAAAGAGCAAGTACGCTACAGAGACACGCCCTGTTCTCCTTAATAGCTGGGAGGGCCTTGGGTTCAACTACAACGCCAGCACGATTTATCGACTTGCACAGCAGAGCGCGGAGCTCGGGGCCAAGCTCTTCGTGTTGGACGACGGCTGGTTTGGCGTAAAGCATCCTCGCATAACTGATAATGCCGGGCTCGGAGACTGGGAAGTCAACCCCAAGCGGTTCCCCGATGGACTCGAGGCGTTGGTTGACAAGGTTACCGCTCTACCTGTTGGCAATTCGTCTACAAAGCTCAAATTCGGCCTGTGGTTTGAGCCTGAAATGGTGAACCCAGACTCGAATCTGTATGAAGTACATCCCGATTGGGCTCTTCACGCTGGCAGGTACCCTCGCTCGTTAACAAGAAACCAACTGGTGCTTAATGTGGCGTTGCCCGAAGTTCAAGATTTTATTGTCGACTCAGTGTCCAATATCCTCAACAGCTCCAACATTGCCTATGTCAAGTGGGACAACAATCGTGGCATCCATGAAACACCAGCGCCATACACCGACCATCAGTATATGCTTGGGCTGTACAAGGTCTTTGCCAGGCTTACAGAACGGTTCCCGGATGTGATCTGGGAAGGCTGCGCTTCGGGAGGAGGGAGATTTGATCCCGGCGTGCTGCAATACTTCCCGCAGATCTGGACATCTGACGACACCGACGCAGTAGAGCGCATCTATATTCAGTTTGGGACCTCACTGGTGTATCCGCCGTCCGCCATGGGGGCACATGTATCGGCGACGCCAAACAGCCAAAGCGGACGAAACGAAACAATCGAGTTTAGAGCCCATGTTGCCATGATGGGTGGTTCATTTGGCCTCGAGCTTGATCCGTCACACATGCCAGAACAAGATAAGGCCAAGGTTCCAGACCTCATTAAGCTTGCCGAGAAGGTGAATCCCATTGTCGTCAAAGGTGACTTGTGGCGTCTTAGTCTACCGGAAGAATCCGACTACCCTGCGGCATTGTTCATCTCCGAGGACCAAAAACAAGCCGTGCTATTCTATTTTCAACTCAAACCCACCATTAACAACTCTTGGCCAGTGGTGCGTCTCCAAGGACTAGACGCCAAAGCCATGTACAAGGTGGATGGCATTCAAACGGTTTCTGGCGCCACTCTCATGAATCGAGGCGTCTCGTATAATTTTGAGGCTGGGTATTCGAGCAAAGTTGTGTTTTTTGAAAAGCAATAAGAACGGTAGATGTTGAGTTGGGAGTAATAGACGATACCTGCTGAAAAGGCTGGAAGACCTTTCTATATGCTCAGTGTTGCTGCTCGTGAGGAAGACAAAAATATAATGTAAAAAAATAAAATAATAAGACGGTCCCACGAGGTTGATTGTTAGTGACAACACACGGCTTTGTTCTACGACGCCAAGAATTGATGCTTAGGCCCTGTGTTATGGGGTGAGAAGGGGGTGCCGCGGTCTTGCCTGAATCACCATCATGGCAACCACTGATAAAGCAGCGACAAGAGTAGCAGTGAATGGCATGTTCTAACAAGTGCAGATTAGAATTTCAACTCGCAAAGATCAAGAAGGCTGCCAGGACACGTCAGAGGGTCACGTGCTCTTCCCGTGTGACATTCATGGGCGAGCAGCTGAATAGCAGCCTTTGTTCGAAAGGTTGGTCAGCATGGGGGCCAGAAACAGCAGAGTTTCAGAGCTCCCAACGGGTCAAATGTTCAAAAAGCCACAAAATGCATCAGGCATCATGCCTTGGTGTCTCATGAGCCATGATTCCATGAATGTCCGTGCCGGTGTCAAAGCCAGGGGCCTAGTGGGATCTGAATATTGAAGGCTCGGGGCAATGCCCGTGCGAGGGCCTCGCTACCAAGAATAACAGCTACTATGGAACGAGCAGACTTTGTTCGGACGGGCACTTGGATCGGGGAGCCGGGTATAGAGTCGCCGCTGTGTTTGATGAAACAGCATCAACGTAATCAAGGCTCCGCTAGCTGCTTATTTTGCTGAGACGGCACGGAGCAGGCTGGTCGGTACGCGGAAAGAAGCCACAGCCTTGTCGACAGAAGAGAGGTTGATTGACTGGTTGATTTCGAGACACGGCTTCTCCAGCTCGTGATGGCGACGGCGGCATTCATTGTCCAGTCTGCATGCCAGACGGGCTGGGGAAGGAGCTGCCGTCTGGTCTGTTGATGGCACCAGACAAGGCTGCCCTCCCTGCGGCCCAAGGGCTAGTTGACCTAGTAGTTACCTAGCAGGTACGGAGTACTCCGTACTAGTAGCATGAACGGTGCGTGCACATGTGCCCTGCGCAGTTTCAACACGTCCAGTCTGGTCCATGTCAACATCATTGAATCCATGACCACATGCGCTCAGTGCTGGGTCTCCGCCGGGTTTCCCGCTGGGGGTCGGCCGCGTTCCAGCGCCACGACGCTACGGCTGCGGGTGACGTGCACCATCAACGCCTGGCCGTCAAGCCGCTGCCCCCCCGAGCATGTGCCTTCAATGTTGTTTGGTCGCCTCAAACAAACATTCAAGGGAAGAGACGAGAGATCCGCAAGCACCACCCGTGATCGCTTTGACAGATCCGCCGGTGCCTGCTGTTAAAACTCCATTTGAAAATTGAAGCAGCATCAACCAGCTGGTCACTCGGTATAGTCATCGCTGACTCAAGAGCTGTGACACACCGTTGACCTGCACGTTGACCTGTGCACGCTTCCAAGCGTTTGACATCGAAAGCGACTTGACCTGACCGAAGCGCCGCAGCCCCAGCCCTGGCCGTCAGAGGCTGTCTGGCGCCCCCCAACTCTGCCCCCAACTGGCCTTATCAACGGGCTTCTTTTTTTCCAGGTCTCATTGAGTGCTCCCATCTATCTCCTTCACCACCTCTCGCTCCGCCTGCTGCATCGCCGTGTTGCCAGGCGATTACATCGACGCATCGACCCGACCGCAACGTCCGCAGCCGTCGGCCTCTCGTCAGGCCCAGGCTGTCTGTCCCGGCTGTCTGCGCCTTATTGCCCTGATTCCTGGCTACCCAACTGCTCGAGGAAGGCTGACTGGGCGCCTTCAGCTTCACCCTGCCTGCCCCGCAGCTACAAAGCAACCAGCTGGGCCGCCGGCCATCAAGGGAAGCAAAGGCCTCGCATTTCCACCATCGCCATGATTCCCTCAGCCGCGCCCGCCAACATGATGGCTACCAGGGCCAGCGCTGTCCCCGACGAACAGGACGACTCCCGCTCGTCGTCTTCTACCGCCTCGCCCGTCCCTGCCGACAACGAAGAGTCCGATTTCTTTCTTGGCGCCAACGACTCCGAGTCGTCTTTGGGCGTCCCCAACTTCCAGGACATGCAGGTCGAGGACTCGTGCTGGCCGCCCATCAACAGGCTGCCCAACGAGATCCTCATCAGCATCTTCGCCAAGCTCGGCGCCACATCAGACCTGTATCACTGTATGCTGGTATCCAAGCGATGGGCTCGCAACGCCGTCGACCTGTTGTGGCACCGCCCTGCCTGCACCAACTGGAGAAACCATAGCAGCATCTGCCAGACCCTGGGCCTCGAGCGCCCTTTCTTCAGCTACCGCGACTTCATAAAGCGATTAAACCTCGCCGCCCTTGCTGACAAGGTCAACGATGGAAGCGTCCTGCCCTTGGCCGCCTGCACCAGGGTCGAGAGGTTGACGCTGACAAACTGCCGGGGCTTGACCGACTCTGGCCTGATCGCCCTGGTTGAGAATAGCCCGTCGCTGCTGGCTTTGGATATTTCCAACGACAAGAACATCACTGAGCAGTCCATTAATACTATTGCCCAAAACTGCAAGAGGCTGCAAGGTCTCAACATCTCCGGCTGTGACGGCATCTCCAACGAGAGTATGATTAACCTGGCACAAAGCTGTAAATATATCAAAAGGGTATGCCATGATTCCTTACAAAACTTTCTGCTCTGGGAGCCATCGTTGACTAACGTATTGATTCCTTTCTCTTTTTGCCTTTTCAGCTGAAACTAAACGAATGTGTACAACTTCGCGACAATGCTATTCTCGCCTTTGCGGAACTATGCCCCAACATTCTTGAAATCGATCTCCACCAATGCATGCATATTGGGAACGCTCCAGTTACATCCCTCTTGTTCAGAGGAACCTGCTTGCGAGAGCTCCGGCTTGCCAGTTGCGAGCTGATCGACGACAGTGCATTTTTAAATCTTCCCGATAAGCGAGTGCGGACCTATGAACATCTCCGAATCCTCGACTTGACTTCCTGCACACGCCTTACTGATGCCGCCGTGGAAAAAATTATCGACGTTGCCCCCCGCCTTCGCAATTTGGTCCTTGCCAAGTGCCGCAATATTACGGATGCCGCCGTACACGCCATCTCGAAGCTTGGCAAGAACCTTCACTACGTCCATTTAGGCCACTGCGGCCAAATTACCGACGAGGGTGTCAAGAAGCTCGTACAGAGCTGCAATCGTATAAGATATATCGATTTAGGTTGTTGCACAAACTTGACAGACGACTCCGTAAAGCGATTGGCGTTGCTCCCAAAACTAAAGAGAATTGGTCTCGTGAAGTGCAGTTCCATCACCGATGAATCCGTCTTTGCCTTGGCTGAAGCCGCTTATCGGCCCAGAGTACGGAGAGATGCTAGCGGAGTGTTTATCGGAGGGGAATACTACACGCCTAGTCTGGAGCGCGTCCATCTGAGCTATTGTATTAATTTGACATTAAAGGTGAGTCTATTGTATGCCTTGCGACCTTTTTGCATGCATGCCAGTCATTTTCAGTTCTGACAAAGACCAGAGCATCATGAGGCTGCTCAACTCATGCCCGAGACTCACTCACCTTAGTTTGACTGGCGTTGCTGCTTTTCAACGGGATGATTTCCAAGCTTACTGCAGAGTTGCGCCGGCTGGTAAGTGTACAGAATTTGGTTTTGGTCGACTCCCTTTCTCCTCTATTTTGATTCTAACACCTTGGAAACAGAATTTACTCAGCACCAACGCGACGTCTTTTGTGTCTTTTCTGGCAGTATGGTCTCCCAGTTCCGTGAGTTCCTCAACACCTCATCGCAATTCGCAGAGCTCCGGGAAAGCCTGCCGTACCGAGCCGGGGGCAGTCGGATCAGGGGTGCGGCTGCTAGACGTTCACAAGCTATGGCCAACTATCTCAACGCCGCTGAAGGTGAAGGCTTTGACGATGAAATGCCTGATGAAGAGAATGACTTTGAAGGCCTCGAAGGGACCGACATGGCAGTTGACCCAGCGGCCCAGAATCCACCACACATTCCTGCTGCGCTTGCGTCTTCCGCGCCATCGATCCCAGTACCGCCGCCGCCGCCAGCACCTGGAATCATGCAGTATCCTTTTGCTTCGGCTAGTCATGCTCACCCGGCGATTCCGAGTTTGGAACAGCAATACGCGGCTTTAGTGGGACCCTTGGCTTTTTCTAGCTTCATCACCAACGAACCAGCGACTGGCAATCCACCACTTAGCGCTAATGGGCGAGCGCAGGCAAGTATAGCCAATTTGACCTCGCAATCAATTCCCCAACGGGCGAGAACATCTTCTGCAAGTGGTCTAGCAAATGGCACTGGAGCTAGCACAGCTCCTCTGCACCAGCACCCTCCAGATGACGAACAGCAATGATTCACTATTTGAACTGTTTGAATGACATGGGTCTCGTGGAAAGGGTAGCAGCGAGAAGCATTTTTTTCACTTGAAAAGCAGGTTTTGGCCAAACGTGAAAAAGAGGAGGGAACTAGCCCCATCATTTGAACGAGCAGACGAAAGTCATCCACCAGGCAAGTATATTAAACATAAGAATGGCGACGCGAGGATCCGACAGAGGCATTATTTCTTTTCCAGCTGCACAAGCGGAGTTCATTGCGTTTCTTGGGAGGGATGAATGTTATGAATACAATGACTCAGGTATACCACATGGTTAAAATTGGCTTTATGAAGGAGCGACGCTGTAGTTGAGGATTGATGTAGTAACTAGAGCATTTGCATCGGCGCTGTTGAATTCAATGAATCATTTTACACTGTCAACCGAAATTTCCTCTACATCTCGAGCTAAACATACGTCAACGTTCGCAGGGTCCAAGTAGAATGGATACTGGGCCGCGCTTCTAGCTGACTTTTTGTCGAGTCCTTTGATATTGATGGAAACCATAATTTGTCACATCAACAAGTAGTTACCTACCTGGGTAGGTAGCTAGTAGTACTACAACTGTAGCTACTATTAATTGGGGTTGTCGGGCCGGTCCGTGTCCCCACATTTTAAGCAGCAATGACTGGCAATCATTTAAAAGGAACCTTGGCAAAGTATCAACTCCAAGCATGATTATTCTCTCTAAATGGTATCAATGCAGGCTATCTAAAGAAACGAAAACGGACGCTCTGACATTGCCTCCCAGACTCCCCAAAAAATAAACGATCCTAAAAATGCCGCGGGCCGTTTAGACAACCTCTCGGGTATTCTTCTCGTGGGTGGAACTGCTGGACGACATGGATCCCGGAGACGAGGAGTCGGCTACGTGGCGCGTTAGCTCGACGTAGTCGTAGGCAAACTCGCCAAGCTGGGCGTCGTCGATGCCGACGTCTTCCTCGGTAGCGGAGACGCGGAGACTCAAGCCGGGGACGAGGTTCATGAGGAACAGGATGATGCAGGTCAGCACGAAGGACCAGCCAAACGCCGCACAAATGCCGGCGAGCTGGTAGCCCAGCTGGACCCAGTTGTGTTCGATCCAGCCGATAGGAGAGTAGGTGTTGCCGTCGAGGGCAGCAATGTACGATCTACAATGACGCGGTGTTAGTTGGAGGCTCTCTCTCTCTTTTTTTTGCCAAAGCTCAACTGACGAGGGGAAGAAAAAGAAACGCAGGGGTTGAGAACGACGTACGCTCCAAAAATGCCAGTGAGGATGTTGCCGACCATGCCGCCGATGCCGTGGACGGCAAAGATGTCGAGGGCGTCGTCGACGCCCGTCAGGAACTTGAGCTTGGTGGCAAAGTTGCAGCAGGCGCCGCCGCAGAGGCCGACGATGACGGCGCCCCAGGGGGTGACGAAGCCGGCGGCCGGGGTGATGGCGACGAGGCCCGAGATGGCGCCGGAGCAGAAGCCGATGGTGCTCCATTTCCTCTCGAGGCGGTAGTCGAGCAGGACCCAGGCGAGGCCGCCGCACGAGGCGGCCAGGTTGGACACGTAGCAGGCCATGATGGCGCGGAGGTTCATGGCCAGCGCGGAGCCGCCGTTGAAGCCGAACCAGCCGACCCAGAGGAAGACGGTGCCGAGGACGACGTTGGTCACGCTGTGAGGGCGGTAGGGGAGGCCCTGCGTCTTGGAGTATCCCGATCGCTTGCCGAGCATGACGCTGTACGCGAGCGCGCAGGTGCCCGAGGCGATGTGCACCGGGCCGCCGCCTGCGAAGTCGTACGAGGGCAGCTTGTACAGCCAGCCGTTTGCGTTCCACGTCCAGTATGCGATGGGGTCGTATACTACCGTCGACCAGATGAAGATGAAGATGATGGCGGGCAGGATGCGGCCGCGGTCGGCAACGGCGCCGATGGCGAGAGCTGGCCTGTGTATTTGGGGAGAAACTTGGGTCAGGAGGCTTTGCTGCGGTTTTGAAACGATCTTGTATTGTCTTCTTGGTTGAGGGGAACTCACGTAATGGCCGCAAACATTCCCTGGTACAGGCAGAAGAGGATGTCGGGGAGGAAAGAGGAGCCGTTTGGCTGGGCGAGCGTCTTCATGAGGCCGAACTGAGTTAGGTCGCCGAAGAAGGCGTTTCCGGTCCGCGAAAAGGTCAACGAGTATCCCCAGAAGAACCACTGGAATCCGATGACGGCCACGGAGAGCATGGAAAGGAGGACGAGCTGGAGAGCCGACTTTCTTCGCGCGAGGCCGCTGTAGAAGAAGCCCACGCCAGGGATCATGAGCAGCACCAGGACCGACGATATGGTTAGGAAGGCTAGGTTGCCCGTCTACACGGCATGTCAGACTGGGAACTTCCCATGGAGAGATTTGTATGCAATGCTGTTTGGAACCTACGTCGTAGAAAATGTTCAGGTCATTGACGTTGGTCGAGTACCCGGCATCGGCAGTGCCGGTTGTTCCATTGTATTCAGCCACCATGTTGGCTGTCTTGTAACCACGTTCACCTTCAGCGCGACTAGTTAACAAGAGAGAAGGCGAACGAGGGTTCCGATGGAAGGGAAGAGAGTTTCAGGAAAAATGAAGACGGACACTGGCAGGGTTGTCAGATTATATCTTCAACCATCTCCGCGCATGAACACCCCCCTGCATTGCTACGCCTCCTAGACCTCAGGACGAGAACAAAGGGGAAAGGGACACTTGATCTTTTTGGGACTTAGAGGGCTTATTATTTTGCAATAAATGACTATTTAGGTTAGATAGCCTGTCATGCCAAGTTCAGCGTCGGATCCCGTCGGAGGATATGCAGGGGCGGAGCCTTGAGAAACGAACAGACCAGTCCACATGAGACGATGTCGGCGTTCATCAGGTATCAAGCTCAGCTTGCCTCAGTTGGAGTTTTTGAGGACGGTCAACAAGACGTGGCGCGCGATATCTTATCAGGATGACTTGGGGGGAGCGCCAATCGGCAACACACAACAGCCACGTTTTTCGCAACATGAGTCGGCCAGGTCCTCCCTTGATAAGAGCTGGCTATTCTATAGACGTAGCATATATGTTGAAGAACGAGCCAAGAGATATTAGCTTGGGGGCATGCCAGCCTTTGTGTAGCCGATGTGGCATACACTCTTCTCCCTAACCGACGTAAAATAACCTTTCTTTAAAGCGCAAGAATGCGTCTTTTTGAATACGGTTGCGATCGCCCTAACTGCCTCAATTTGTTCAAGACACACTTTAGTTGACAAAGAGCGTTGAAGTTTTGGCCATATGCATAAGCTCCTGAACAAGTAAAGAAGAACGAGGCGCAGCAGTGAGTATTGTGAATGCAGAGCACCGGCATCTTTGGATTTAGGGGGCGGCAGAGGCATGTAGAGATACTGCAACAGTTTATTGTACGTCAGGCTTTTCCTGCACAAGCTCATCTTATTCTTATCACCCATGTCTTCGATTGGCTGTGATGAAGCAACGCCACGGTGCCTTGAACGAGAATAAGCCGTATCGCCCACACAATCCTGAGAGATAGCTATCTGGGGGAAATTCATGGGGTTCTGATTGGGCGGAGTCTTATCTTTTTGTGTGGCGGCGCATCCTGGAATAGTCGACCAACACCAACACCAACACCAACAGTTCCTCAGGGTCCACCAAGGGGCGTGACAGGGTAACTGTCGCAAGAAGATATAGGGGGCACTAACACACAAATACATGTGGCGTGGCCACGCCCATTTTTTGGTCCGATAGTAACCCTCTCACTTGTTCCAGATAGACCCATGTTCTCTCAACCAACCCAACTACTACGGACTAAGCTCCCGTCTGCTTCTTCTTCTTGGGCATTAATGACGAGGTTTTTTGAGTCCGTTGCATTGGGCGCAATGGCGGTCTGTAACAGGATTCGGCTAGTTTTGGTCTGCATGGCATTCTTGGGACGAAGTCTCCAACTGCAAGTCGGCGTTTATTGTTGAAGTTGAGAAGAAATTGTGCTGACTGTCGAGTCCAGAGGACAGGGTAATTCTCCCCGGTGTCTGGCCTGCATTCTTCGTTGTGAATGTCTTTGGTATACTGAAGTTCGCTTCGACAGATCCAGAGACAGTATAACAAGACAGGCCCAACATGTGAAACTTATGTCTCTTGCCGTGTTATGAATCTCTCTATACTCCTTCATCAGGTTCGAAGCTGGCGCAAAGTTTCCAAAAGCTGCGTGTGGCGAATGGCTTGGGGGCCTGCAAATACAATCCGTATCTGATTCCATGGGGAACTCTTCCGAGTTGAGCACCCGCATTTGAGACCTGCGCCAACGTTGAAACAATTCGTGTCGTAGCCTGTATTATGAACTCAACTTGCCAACTCCGCTGATGATTAGGGTTCCATCTCTGTTCTCCACTCGTCCTCAAGCTCTACCAGTCTCTTGGCCACGTCTAATGGGACGGCTTCCTCTAAGACTCTCCGCTGCTCGACCGTGATCTTGTCCAAGACATACTTGCTGACTGTGGCCGCATCCCGCTCAGCTGGGCGACCAATGCCAATCGCAATGCGGGCGAATGGCGATTCTGGGAACTTGTCTTGTAGTAACGACTTCTTGACGCTTTTCAACCCATTGTGGCCTCGATGACTTCGATCCCAAGGTGTGAGCCTCACATCACCGAAGGCCTTCTCCAATTCATCGTGGACGATAACAAGACTTGTTGATGATGGGTCGTGCTGCCGGACTATTTCTTGCCATACCTTCGCCACAAACGGCCCAGAGATGTTCATAAGAGTTGGAGACTGAACAAGGGTGTACTTTGGCCCCTGAGAGACCAGACAGGTTTGCCTTCCAAATTTCACCTCGCGAAAGGGCGGATGTCTGAGTGCTTTGGCGAGGCCATTGAGAGCAAAATGGCCAGCTGAATGGAGGCTCTCATATTTTGGCAAGGGATTTCCGAGACTGATAACTAAGAAACGCGGATTAAACATTATGCCGCACTCGATTGAGCACACTGTTGAGCAACGGAAATGGAGCGTTTCATGCCACAGGCTGAAAGACGAGAGGCACGCGCCATCACGTGATTGTCATGTTTTCTGGGGCGGAGCGAGCCTCGAAGCGCTGCGCCTCGTATTCTTCTGACGTAGATGTTTGTCGCTGGCTGTGGCTGCGCAATCTGATTTGGTCTCGATATCGCTCTCCCTCTCGACCTTCTCCAGCAAAACGAACGCCAATACCTCCACCAACACACTGCGATCCAGCCGTACGGCACTGTTTCCATTTATATTTTGTTCATTCCTTTTCCTTCCAGCAGGACAGAACAGTCAAGATGTCGTGGGCGGGTTTGTACAAGCTCAGACCCCGCAGTGAGACGGAAGAGGGGCTGACCGTTGAGTTAGGGTTCAAGAAGAATGTGAATCGCGCGACGACGCAGGTGATGATGAAGACGGGTATGGATGATTCGTCTTTCGATTGGGTTCGCGAAAGTTTCTAATCTGAACGCCTAGGACATGTGGAGAAGACAAATGATCGTGACTATGAGCTGGAGGAGAGGTATGGCTATTTTGGGGATGAGTATTGTTGTTGTTGGAATCTAATGGATGGTCTAGACGATTCAAGACGATGGAAGCCGCATCATTGCGATTGCAAAAGGAGGCAAAAGGGTATCTGGACTCACTTCGAGGTAACACAATCCGATATGTCCGGCCGCACCGAGGGACGTTGCTAATTCTTTGGGCGATAGCTATGACTGCGTCCCAAATGCGAATAGCGGAAACGATAGATGCCTTTTACGGGGATTCCGGTGCCAGGGACGGTGTCAGCAGAAGCTACAAACAAGCTGTGGAGGACCTTGACTCTGAGACGATCAAGGCCTTGGACGGGCCTTACCGAACAACCGTATTGGACCCCATCAACCGGTTCTGCTCTTACTTCCCCGATGTCAACGAGTGCATCAAGAAGAGATCCCACAAGCTCCTAGATTATGATGCCCTCCGAGCGAAGGTGAAGCGACTTGTTGAAAAGCCCGACAAAGACGCGACCAAACTGCCCCGAACAGAGAAGGAGCTTGAAATGGCCAAGCTTGCCTATGAACAGCTCAATGAACAACTCTTCTCCGAACTACCTCAGCTGATCGATCTGCGGGTACCGTACTTGGATCCTACGTTCGAGGCGTTGGTCAAAATTCAGCTGCGATTCTGTGCCGAAGCATACTCTCGAATGGCGCAAGTGCAACAGTACCTGGATGCAGACACTAGAGATCTATACGCCGAGGGGCACTTAGATGCAAGAGTAGAGCAAGTTTTGCAAGAGATTCGAGAACTCAGTATCAGCGGGACTGTATAGAAAATATAACTTGGGAAAGGGGACTCGGGCGGGCGGCACTAGGTGCAAAAGGGTGTGCGGTGTTGCGCTGCATTTAGCTGGTTACAATGGCGTACGGGCTGATCCGACAGTGGGCTTTCTTCTTGTCGACTGTTTTACTTTTTACAGTTTCTTCGGAATTAATAGCTCAATATGCTAAGGATATCTTTTGCGTATCTCGTCAATTCGTGAAATTTCCCCAATCTACATGTATCTTGGACATGACGTGCTGCTTGTCCCGAGTCTTTGCCTTTAACCAACTTTGATGATGTCCACGGGCCGGGTGACCCCATGGACCGAGCATGCTCTGTATGCAAAACCACTCGCGCACCAAAAGGCACAAATCCTCTCAATAATTCACCGTCCGATGTTCGTGCTGCTTCCCAAACAGGTCACTTAGTGATAATCTTTTCCCGATAGCTTGCATGGCAGGTCCTGCCTCCGGCCCTTGCTCTTCAGCGGACGCTGCTGACCTGGCCACTTTCCAGCTCTCTTGTATCGTGGCCCCGCTGACCTCCCTGGTCTCGTCCTTGTCATTGTGAATCCATAACCCGATGACCTTGTCGCCCTCTTCCCAATTACCCTCCACTCTCAATATCACCAGTTCGCCTGCGATCTCTACGTGGCTCACTCGGGCAAGGTCAACCACCAAGTTGTCCAAGGCCCTCCGGTTGAGGACAAACACACACGCCCGCGGCTGGTGGCTCTCGGGGAGCGGAGACTGGGCGCACACGAACATGGTGCCCTCGATGCCAGACTTGTCCCAGCTTGCGGTTTCGCTGTCGAAGGTGTAGACGACGGCGTTGGCGGCTATGGAAAGAATGGCTTGAATAGATGGGAGATATCGTTGGAGAACGGACAAGTTCAGTTCGGTGTTTGTGCGGGGGGGAGGCGGCGCGTAGGCGGCGTGAATGGCGGCAGCGTCGGATTCGTAGTCGGAGACGGCTGGTATGAGGTTTGAGGGCTGGCGCGAGTGTCGCGCTTTGCGAGGCGTTTGCTTGCTCATTGCGACAACGGGCCACCTTGGGCAAGTGACTGTGGGGGTGTGATGTCGATGCGTAGTCGAACTATGCTGTATTGTTGACGGCGGTCGTTGATGAAAAGGGTGCGAGATGGATATCCTGATAAACGGCGTGCGGCGAGCATATGGGAGCACGCGCAGAGTTTCGGCTGGACGCTGCGTTCAATGTTGGGCTGGCGAGCTTATCGATAGTGCACATGCATGCCGTGTTTTTGAATGTTTCCAGGTTTCAATGTTGCCAGGGTCTGTTTGTGGTCTGTGCATGACAATATTGAGCCAAGTGCTGAGCTATGACGTGCATTCCAACATTGAACTCTAGAGCTTTGGGCCTTAACAGCTGCCGGCATGTGCATGTGGCCAGAATTAAAGGGCAGCCAACTGCAAGCCCGCTGCACGACACCCGCCAGTTGCATCCACCGCGGGGTTCCAGGCTTCCAGGGTTCCTGTGCTCAGCTGTCAACTTTGTTTCACAGGTCAACTGGTCCAAGCTTGTCATCGGGTCAAGTCAACTTTGACGCTTCAACCTCTCTCGGGCATCCCGTCACAACTCCATCTTCCGTCACGCACGATTACGCGGTTGCGCCGGCATGTTCTTGCTCCCTGCATGCATATTTCCCCAGGCTCCGCTATGATACTATAGCTTTTTATACATTTTACATATTTTCTTTCTTTTATTCTGGCTGTCGTTGTCGTCCCTAGCTGCTATAGGTCTGAATATCTAAACACCATGGTCTAGGTCACCAGAAAGCAGCGAGTTTCCAACCTCCCAACAACACGATACTTTCGCAGATCTGACGCCTCTTCACGTATTTCAACGAAAATGGCTGCTCCAGAAAGTCCACAGTCGACTCACTCCGGCTCTTTTGAGCCTGTAGATTTGCTCACAGAGCCCCAATCCCTCGCGCGGGCAGTACACGCACGCCGCCCCGAGTACCTTCGGCCGCACAAGATTCGAGTCAAGATTGGCACCTGGAACGTCGCGGCGTGCACTGGGACAGACAAAGATCTTGAAAGGTGGTTTGTTGGTGGCCAAGGGATCGATAAGCACTTTGCCACCTTGGACCTGTCTCGAAATCCTGCTGTCGCACACCCTGATTCTTCCGGTGACGAGGACGACCCCGACGCTGTCCGTCTTCTTGGCGGCAACGATATTGGGCTGTATGTTCTGGGCTTACAGGAAGTTGTGGATTTGAACGTTACCAGAGAGTACATGAATCGGGCCGTCAATGTGGACAGCTCGCCGGTTGGCAAGTGGCAAGCTGCGCTGGAAGCTGCTATGCCCCCGGGATATCAACGCATCATGTCGGAGCAAATGACCGGCTTGCTCCTCTTGATTTATGCATCTCCAGAGGTCGCTCCAACCATAACCAACGTGAGCACGAAACAGGTCGGCACCGGTCTCTTGGGATATTTTGGGAACAAAGGCGCCGTCACGTCCCGCCTCGTTCTTGGAGAAACGACTCGCATGGTATTTGTCAACTGCCATTTGGCTAGCGGCGCTGGCTCCAGCTACTTGGATCGAAGGTGTTGGGATGTTGATCAGATTCTTGCCAAGACGAAATTCGATCCCGTAGTGCATGCTGGTGTTTCCGAGGACGACGGCGAGACGATTGGTGACGAAGATTTTGCATTCTGGTTCGGTGACCTGAATTTTCGACTCGACGGACTTCCCGGCCATGATATCAGGAGATTACTAACGCTCCACACAAGAGGGGAGTACGCTTTGGGCGACGACCATACACCTCGGCCCCCAGAAGGCGAGGGGATAATTGTAATGCGAGACTCTGAAAGCGATGACGATACCACAATGAGGTCTTCACTTCACTCACGAGATCAGAGTTTCGATTCTGAAACCACACTTCCGGATCCTGGTGATTTCCCAGAAGACCCGAGCCAGGACCCAACGTCTCTTCAAGCGACACTGGACTCACTCCTCCCTCACGATCAACTTCGGCGAATGATTGCACATCGCAAGGTATTTCACGACGGATGGAGAGAAGGGCCCATTACATTTTTGCCATCCTACAAATACGACGTTGGAACTGTGGGACTCTTTGATTCTAGTGAAAAACAACGAGCCCCGAGCTGGTGCGACCGAATTTTGTATCGAACACGGAAGGATAAACAAGCCTTTGACGCCAAGTTAGCCGAAGAGATAGCGGCTAAGAAAAAGGACGAGGAAATGAAATCAAGAGGTATAGATGAGGATGAGGACGTTCTCTTCAGCTATGACCCCGACACAGACGGGGACGAGCAGGCTGAGGTGGCTGCGTATGACTACGATGAGTACGACGAAGCACAGGATGATATCCCCAGAGAAGTTGTGACAAAAGAGGGCTACGTGGACCGGATTGCTCTTGACATTTATACGTCACACCAGCGCATTACGTCGTCAGATCACAAACCCATCATCTCCGTCTTCTCCCTTGAATATGACGCAGTTGTGCCAGAGTTGAAAGCAAAAGTTCACGCCGAGGTCGCCTGGGAGCTTGACAGAGCTGAAAACGAAGGGCGCCCGGCCATAACTATTGCCATGGAAGGGGGCAAGTCGGGCAATGAGAATACTGTTGACTTTGGCGATATTGGGTTCTTGGAGAGAAAGTCGTCTGTTTTTACAGTTGCGAATACTGGCAGTGTCCCAGCAAGCCTCTTATTTATCGAGAGTCCCACCACGAATGAGGTCGATTCGACATCATTAACTTGGCTGACCACATCGTTTCTCCACCCAGACGATGATGAAGCCAGCGATTTGGGCAAAGGGGTCACACTAGAACCTGGAGAGACTGTCCTGGCACATGTTCAAGCCCAAGTCTCCGATATTTCCTATCTCCGCGCCTTAAATGATGGCCATGCCAAGTTGGAGGATGTTTTGGTGCTTCGGGTAGAGGAGGGCAGAGACCATTTTATTCCGGTCAAAGGTGCCTGGCTGCCAACTTGTTTCGGACGATCCATTGACGAGCTCATCAGAGTACCTGACGGAGGCATACGAAAGTTTCTAGCTGAGAAGGATATCAAAGGGGCCATTCCCTATGATTCTGACATTCGATGCTCAGCCCCGAAAGAAATTTTCAAGTTGACAGAGGCAATCCAGACATTGGTGGAAAGGTGTGTTGCCGATGAAGCAATGTTGGAATCCATGACTCTGCCTCGGGAGCCGGGTTGGCCTTTTGATTCGTCTACTTGGACGCCTGGTTTGAAAGAACAGGATGAGACGAAAGCCGACCTCGTGGCAGCTTTGGATAACGACTCTCCCATTACCGAGGTATTGCCAGTAGAACTCTCTTCTCCACATAAATTGGAACTGCTATCTTCGATGTTACTGTTGTTTTTAGCTTCATTAACGGACGGCCTCGTTCCTCCGATCCTGTGGGCCAAACTGTCCACGTCATTCCCGAATTTGACGTCTCTTGCTCCCACGGCGTGGGCTGACACAAAGATGCATATTCTCGATATATTTTCTTCTGCGCCTAATCATAATATTGCTTTTGTCTTTTTAACTTCTACACTGGCCCGCGTAGCTACAGAGCTGAGTCCAGCGACGTCGGAACCTCTCTTACCGGGTCTAAGTCGACGATTGAATTTCAGACGGGGAGAAGACGACAGCGAGAAGAAAAGGAAATTACGGGAACGGAAATATGCTGAAATTATTGCTCCTCTCGTATTCCGGACAAACGATAGAGATAAGACGGTGAAGGAAAAAGAACGGATTGTTGTTGAGATATTCTTGAGCCGCGAGGCTGGAGGTTAGAGACCAGCGACCAGAAGACTAAGAGGGGACATCAGGTGCCGGTTCCGAAGTCGACGGGCCTGGACGAGGGGATAATATTGTAATTATATGCGCAGATGGCCGTGAGCTGCACCTGGATGCGGCATGTGCGAGATGCAGCTTATCTTGCAGCAATTTCATCATCAGTATTGAATACGGAGCAAGTGTTGAGGCAGCATTAGAGGTCTGGCGCAA